TCTAAGATTTGAAAAAAAAAATTATTTGAAAGAGAGTGACACACACAGAGAGAAATCTTGCATCTACTGGTTCATTCCCCAGATGGCTGTGACAGCCAGGCCTGGACCAAGCAACAGCCATGAGCAGCACCCTAGTCATTCATGTGAATGACAGGGGTCAACGCACTTAAACCATCATCGCCTGCCTTCCCAGATACAGCAGCAGGGGGTCGGGCTTTACCAATGCCCAAGTCTGGGGATTGTCAAACTCTGGGCCACACTGCTGACCTTCTTGACTGTAAAAACCACCAAAGATTGTATCTTGGCGCCGCATGGTTGCCTATTGGCTAAAGTCCTTGCATTACATGTGCCACTATCTCATATGGGGTCCGGTTTGTGTCCTGCCTGTTCCATTTCCCAGTCAGCTGCCTGCTGTGGCCCGGGAAAGCAGTAGAGGATGGCCCAAAACTTTGGGACCCTGTACCCACTTGGGAGACCTGGCAGAACCTCACTTCTGGCTTCAGATAAGCTCAGCTCCAGCCATTGCAGTCAATTGGAAAGTGAACCAGTGGGCAGAAGATCTTTCTCTCTGCCCCTCCTCTTTGTAAATCTGTCTTTTCTAATAAAAACAAATAAACCTTAAAAACAACAGAAATACAAGAAGTATCTTGTTATCTTGTATTTCTTTATGCAGAGAAACAGAGGAAGTTAATGTTGTCTAGCTTCAGCTTACCATGTAGTAGAATTCCCGAACTTCCTACCCTATCCAGCTATAATTTCATATTCTCAATCAATTTGTTCTCCAATCATCCCTTCCCAGTTCCAGGAGCCACTACTACATTTTTTTTTTAACTTCCGTAAGACTGGCTAGTTTTTAGACTCCCCGTTTGAGTGAGGTCATGCATTTTGTTTTTCTTTCTGCACTTGGACGAATGACATCCAGTTCCACCCATGTTACTGCGTATAACAAGATTTCACCATTTTATGTAGCTTTTGTGCATTTGCAGCACTTTTCTTACCTATTCTTCAGTTGTTGGAAAGTTGGGCTGTTTCCATCTTTATTGAGGGTCGTGTTGCAAAGAGCATAGGAGTTCAGTTGGTCACAGCTCTGTTTCTGTTCCCCTGCATTAATTAGATTGAAAAGTAGGCTTGTTGGCTCATATGCCAATTCTATTTGTACTTTTTAAAGGAAGCTCTACTGACTGTTTTTGGTTTTGTCTGTTTTGGTTTACAATGGCTATACTAGTTTGCATCCCCCCGTCCCCCAACAGTGTGGAGACATTCCATCATCAGCAAATTCTCATTTGCATTTTGTGACTCTGTCTTTTTTGGTACTAGCAAATCTTCCTGGGAGGGGGTAGTATCTCATGGTGGTTTTGATTTGCTTGTCCTTGCTTAATAAGCATTGACATCAAACTCTCTGTCGCGAACTTGTTTGCTATTTACATGACTTCCTTGAATAAATAGCGGCCTTGATCTGTTACCTGTGTTTATTCAGGATGTTTTTCTGTTCTTGAGTTGTTTGACCTGTATTCTCCGCGTAGTAACACCATCTCAGACACATGGCTTGCAAATATTTTCGCTAGCCTGTAGGTTGTGTCTTCACTCAGTCCACCACTCCTTTGATGTGCATAAAAGCTCTTCAGTTTGATATTATGTACCGATTTTAGGGTTTTTAAATTTATTTTCTGATCTTTGAGATCTGATATGTGAAACCCTTGCCCATTCCAACGTATTGAGATGCTTGACCTATATTTCCTTCTAATGATTCCAAGGGTCCAGCCTCACAATTCGGTCCTTGAGTTGATCATTGTGACTGTTGAGAGATTGGAATTCACATTTGTTTTTCTGCATGTGTGTGTCTACTTCTTATTATACACAGTATTCTTTCTGTAGCTGGCTGGATGTAGATGCGAGGGTTTCCTTCCCGCAGCTCTGATCTGTTCCAATGGTCTAAGGAGCTGTCCTTAGCACCATGCTGTTTTAATTAATGTAGCAACGCAATGCATTTCTCATTGAAGATTATTCTGGCCATTTGGAGATTTATGTGGCTTTAGATAAATTTTGGTAGCATTTTTTTAGTTGTATGAGAAATGTTCTTGTAGTTTTGGTGGAGATTACACTGAATCTGTAAATCGCTTTAAATAACATATATTGCAGACTCCGATTCATGAACATGAGTTTTCTCCATTTCTCTGTGTTATTTTCAACGCCTTTCATTTGTGATTTCTGATTTTCATGGCATGGATCTCTTACTTTTTCTGTTAAATTTATTTTTAGATGCTTAAAATTTGTGTAGTTATTGGAAATGGGAGTGGTTATTGAATTTCTCTCTTAAATGACTTGCTTGATGTGACAAAACCACCTGCTTTGGCGCATCGACTTCCCATCCTGGGCTTTGGTTTGGTGCTGCTCCCCTTCTGGTGGAGTCTCGGGGGGTTTATATACCTGGGATCGTAACTTCTGAAAACCTCATTCTAAAAGCTCTACATAGAACTCCCAGCATCTTGTCACATAAAGGAGAAGCATTTGAGCATTCCTGTCTTATTCCAGATCTAGTGCATGAAAATGGAAATGCTGTCCTCTACGGGATGGAGCAAAAGCAGTGCTAAAAGCGATGTTTATTGCAATCAATGCCTGCCTTTAAAAATGCATCTCAAAGTGGTATCACTGTGCATCGAGGAACGAGAAAAGTCATAACATATCTAATCCAAAATTAATGGAAGGAAACTCATAACATACATACATAGAAACTAAAATTAAATTAATAAATGCAACAAATTAATAAAATAAAGAGCTGATTCTATGAAATGATGGACAAAATCGATAAACCATTGGATGGGCCATCCAAAAAGAAGTTAGTGGGTTTAATTATACAGAAAATTGCAGATGAAAATGAGGTCTTTGCCATTTTCTCCAAACAAATACAAAGGATTGTTAAGAGATTACTATGAGCAACCACATGACAACAAGAAATCAGACTCTTACCCAGATTGGTTCATAAGGAAATTAATGGACGAGCATCGTGCAGTGAGACTGAATCAGTAAACAGCAGTGCCCCATCAAAGAAAAGCTAGGATCACATGCTTTCACATGGATTCTATCAAACATTGAAAAGGAATGAACACTTGTTCTTGAACTGGTTAAAAAAGAAAAGAAATTAACAAACCATGATTAGGGAGAATTCACTCCAGGAATGTGAGGGTAGTTTAATATTCCCACATCAACACATGAGCAAAAATGGAAGACAAAAAGTCATGTGATCATCTGAATAGATGCAAAAAAGACATCTGATAAAATTCAGCATCAAATTAAGTGTAGTGGGGCATAATTTAGTATAATATTGATGATATGTACCGAGTCAGCAGCTGCCATGTTTGAGGGCAAGTCTGAAGCCTGTCTCTCTAGTATCTATGAAAATCAAGGACAGAAATTGTGTTAGCATTAGATGCAGCAATATTGCTACCTTATAGCGCTTTATAATACCTTAAGTTATGTTGCCAGGAATATCGAAATAGTTGAATGAAATGCTTATATATTCAGTAACATGTATGACTGGAAGGAAACGGAGTGAGCCGAGGTGTGAATGGTGCTGACGGTGGACAGGCTTACAGCAGTGTATTTGGCTGATTCCCTCCAATCCAGGAATCCGTGGGTGCTTAGGAATCAAGTGTCCGCATTCAGCCCATCAGCTGCCTTGCCTCAATACCTCCTTTGTGTCCAAATGTACCTCAAGGAGGAACTGAGGTTTTCCATCAGGCAATCTCAGGTATACATGACGTGGTTGCAGTCTCCTTCTTGAGGTGAACGGAGTTGGCTGTGCGCAGGCTCCGTGAAACGAGCTCCAGGTGGCTGTCCCAGAGAAGGACCAGCAGGTGGCTTCCCTGTAAGATGGCCACCAGGAGACAGTCAGGGATCAGCAGGAGCCATTAACAGGAACCCGGGCTCCCTGGACTCCAGAAACGCAGTAACCACTGCTTTAGAAACAAACCACAGACATACGTTATTACCACTTTAAAAATATTACTTATTTTCATTTAAAGGCCGAATTTACAGAGGGAAAGAGACAGACAGAGAAGGATCTTAGACCTGCTGGTACATATTCTAAATGGCCACCTTGGCCAGAGCTGAGCCAACCCGAAGCCAAGAGCCAGGGGCTTCTTCCGGGCCTCCCACGTACGTACAATGTCCCAAGGCTTTGAGGCTTTGAGCCCTCCTCTACTGCCTTCCCAGGCCATAAGCAGGGAGCTGGATGGGAAGTGGAGCAGCCAGGACATGAACCAGCACTGTGTGGGATGCTGGCTCTTGCCAGTGGAGGAGTAGCCTGTTGCCTGACAGTGCCCGCCCCTGTTTTTACCTTTTTGTTAAACATTTACCATATCCACGTAGGTCTCTGCCGTGTTGTCTTCACCAATACTCAAGGGCAGATTCCTTGAAGGTGAACAGGGCGTCTTATTGACAGCGCTGTGCACGTCTCATAAGGACTTCCCCTTCCTGAATGGATGAGCTCAGAAGACACCAGGCTCATATTCCCTCCTGAGTGTGTTCCTGGAAGGCCAATGTGTATTCCTGTCATTGCCTAAAGAAAAGTCGTTCCTCCCATACTCAACTCTGCAGGTGCTCTGACCATGGGCAGCACTGGCACCCTGGCCCCACACCGCACAGCAGTGGGCCGGGCCACACGGCCCTCTTACAAAATTGTCTCTCTTAGGAGGATGCTTCCAAAAGCTCATGGAAAATGGGAATGTAAGGTAAGCGTGCCGTGGTGAAAAGAAATCTTTTGAGACACAGATTTTTCACAGGTTTCCCCTGAACTCCTCTGTGTTGACAACAGCAGGATCAAACGTCTCACTCTGCTGTGCTGGCGTTCTGGAGAATTCGCTTTTTTTTTTTTTCTGTGAAAGAAGCACAGAGTCTCCGCCCAGCCTCTGTGCCATCCCTCTAGCTTTTCCACGTCTCCTGCACTTAAGACACTTACTCTTTGTTTTTCAAACTGTGAAGACCCCTGTCCTGTTTTCCAGGTCTGAGAACGAGTAAAGGCGCGGTTACCCCTCCTCGCTCATCTCCCGCGAACACCTGCTCCCCAGAGGTCATCCACCTGAAGGACATTGTCTGTTACCTGTCTCTGCTGGAAAGAGGAAGGCCTGAGGACAAACTCGAGTGTAGGTTGTCTGAATTCCACTTTCTCGTCCATGGAAGTGAACTTAAAAGTGCATCTACTGCCACTGTGCTTCATTTTGATTGAGTAAGATGACTCTGATTTGATATCAGGTTATTGATCAAGCGCCTTTAAAAAAAAAAAACAAAGATGATTTCTTGTTTGGCAGGTGGATTTTTACAAATGTCTCCCAGCTCCTGGAGCCGATGGCAAGGGGTTAGCCATGGTCTCTGGGTTGCCTGGAGAGAGTTTGCATTTGTTTAAGGTGCTTGAAGCTTCCTTCTGTGTGGGAACAGCAGCCTTGCCAGGGAGGAGGTCCCTTCTACACAAGGGAATCCCCTACAGCTTCCTCCACCTCCCTGTCTCAGGCAGGGACGGATGAGAGATTCCATTGTAAGATTTGACCCTGGGACTTACAATTTAACCGAACAAGTTTTGTTTCCTTCTATGAAGGGCATTTTTTATCTAATCCAAAGTCAGTGCCCGCGCTCCCTCTGGTGGCAAACCATGCTCACTGCAACAGGGAAAAGGATTTTTTTTTTCAACACCTGCTCCGAACCTTGTTTTCTTCTAAGTTGTCACGAAAGCCCTTCGAAATACGATTTGCAGTTCACTCAATAATGTCATTAACCCGTGATCATGGATAAGGTTAAAATGAGTAAAGATCTCCCTCTACTTAAATGGTTGTGAAGAAAATGCACCCAAACTTTTAAGATTCCTAATGCAAATGTATACCACTGTGATGTCTCAGAATTTTGCTTTCAGAGAATTTTAGTTGCTTTATCAGGAGCTTTTTAAATAACGTTTCTTCCAGCAGGAAACGGTTTATCATCTGTTTCTCTAAAAGACACACCTGCTTAGGTTCTGAATAAACCATACGAGCAACTTACTGCAAATGGGTATTTATTATTCATAACTATGGAATATTTGCCTTTCAAGATTTATTTTGTATTTCTAAGGAGAATCTACATAAGGCTCTCGCCTTCCAAAATAAATATTAACATTCGATGAATTTTATTGAAGTGACAGCCAGCCGGAAAGTTTACGCAGGTGTTACCAGCACCGTGTTGCGGATGACTAAGAAAAACACAAAGACAGAAACTTGTGCCAGAACTAAGAATACAGGAGGTCACCACTGAGTCTCCCCTGAAGGCTCTTTGGTGTTGCACCTTACTGATTTCTAGCTCAGATTGCTTTTAAAGTGGAACTCCTAAGAAGCACCCAAATTGAGGGCTGGACCCAGCGGCCTGTGTCCGTGCTGCAGACTGAAGGGTAATTCACGCCCCATGCACGGACGCTGGGATGAGATCAAGTCAAGCTGCCTTCCCTTCGCTTTTCTTCAGTGTTACCCCGCACTGGTCTGACCTGGCTCTTTCTCCTGCCTCTACCACCGGATCCCGTTGGATTTTATCTTATTGTTAGCCATTTCTTCAGACCCTTCTAAGACGCAGTGCTGGCTCTCACCTTAAATTCAGCGATACTCGAGTTTTTCTTCATTTTTATTTTTCTTTTCTGTTGCTCTTGAAGTTGTCTTTATGATAACAATACATCAAAATCATCAAGGGCTTGTTTTTCTCTTTGTTATTTCGTGTCAATATCTGACCTTTTCCCACATCAGCTATGCCACAATTCTATCCTCTCACCTACCTTTAGTAAGCTACCATTTTAATGTTCGCCCTTCAGCAATTTTACATTTACAAATTCTTGACATTCTTTCACATAGAACTAAATTTGAATCTCTCAGTAAGACTTTCAACATATGTAATGATGGCTGAATTAATGCATACTGATGTCCAAAAGGGTTACAGTTTACTTAACGTATTGTCAACAAGAAGAATGAAAAGAAAAATCATAATAACATAAAAATGCATGAAGCAAGCATCTATAACAATCAACTTGAGCAGGCAACTGTTACGTTGGGCTCTGACTTCCAGGAGGCTAAGCAGAAATAAAGACGTACACATTGGTTCCAAAGAGCAGTTCACACACTTCATCGCCTAGCACAGTCACCCGCCGGGCTTGCCAACCCAAACAGCTTGCAAGGTGCACTTTCAATCTCTCTGACTTAGCAGGTATGAGACAGGATCTGAGAATTAGCTTTCCCCAGATGCATTCGACGCTCTTGTTCCCTGGGCCCTGGCTGACACTGTTCCCTTTTCCCTGGAGCAAGCACACCCACCCAGACCTGGATCACTCGGACCGCCAGACGCTGTGTGCGACAGTGATCTGCAGTGGCAACATTTGTTAAATTATCTTAGCTGAATTTGGGGTCAGGTGATTCTATTGTTGGTTGATGTTTATAGAAAAGACACTTATTCGGCAATAATATCTTAGCATGTTCAGGGTTTCTCACTAATTCTCACCCTTCCGTGACGCTGAGAGTGTTCAACGTAAAGTTAATCCATTGAAAGCAACTTAAGGGGCAGTAGTGCAGTAGATGAATACAACGCTTGGATGGCAGCAGCCTGTACGAGCGCTGCTCAAGTTCCACTGCTCTGCTTCTGATCCAGCTGCCTGCTAACAAGGCTGGAAGATGGCTGAGCCCGTCATTCACTCGAAGGCCTGGATGGACCTGTCGGCTCTCAGCCTCATCCAGTCCCGGCTCTCGTGGCATTCGGGAAGTGAACCAGTGATGGAAGGCTTCTTTCCCTGTCTGTCATTCCCTCTCTCTATATATAAATCTGCATTTCAAATAAGTCAGGTAATATTTTTTAAAGACATTTAAGGAGCACAAATGCCCAGGTCTGTTCTGCTTCCACTGGCTTAAGCCACTCTTGTCTCCTGCCCTGAGACTCTCAAAAGGAAGGTGTCTGGGAACTTGTCCTTGTGAGCCTTACAGAAAGTGTGTAAGCTTTTATAGTGGGCTTGTGTGTGTTCCTCCCGGAGTCGGGCTGGGGATGGGGGTGACCACACTCATGCCATGTGTTGGTTGGTATCACTCAGTAGCCGCCGGGACTGACTCTATGCTGTGCCCTCGCCTCCCCAGGCTGGAGTGCTACATAGTCCTTTATGAGCAGTCTGTCAATCTTTTTTTCAAGTCCCCTTGCAGGATTTCAAATCTGTGACTTCACTTTCAAGTATTTTGTTCAGATCTTCTGCTGAAATACCCCTAGACAAGTAACTTCCAAGGGCTGGTTTTATTCTAAAACTTCAAATTCTACAAATTGACTTCGGGTCTCAGCCGTGTTCATGTAACTTATTCCTCTCTTATGTTTAGTTTCAGTATGACTTGTCCCTTAAGGAATTGAACTTTGATTTAGACTGATTCCATGTAAACTCCAGGTTCTCTTTCTAAGTGATGTGGGTGCATTTAGCATAGAAATCTCCTTCAAGAGTCCTTCTTCACTTCAAACAGTAGAGTCACGGGGAACATGGATCTCAGGAAGAGCTAGGAATATGAGATTAATGTTTACTCACATAAATTTGTGCACTCCTGTGAGTTACATAAATACTTGTTACATAGAATGAATGAAAGGAAATGAAAACATCTCAACACTTGACCAATCCCCACCCTGCTGACTGTGCCTGCTGCCTTTGGCCTCTTATGTTTGCAAATTTAAAAAGATCCTTCAATGTACAATGTCAATTATTCCTTTTTTAATATTTCTTTATTTTTATTGGCAAGGTAGATTTACACAGAGAAAACGGGACAGAGAAAGATTATCACTCCCCAAGTAGGCGCAATGGCCAAAAGGAAACTGATCCAAAGCTAAGAGCCAGTAACTTCTTCTAGGTCTTCGAAATGGGTGCAGGGTCCCAAGGCTTTGGGCCGTCCTCTACTCCCTTCCCAGGCCACAAGCAGGGAGCTGGATGGAAATGGAGTGGCCAGGACACGAACTAGCACCAGTATGGGATCTTAGCAGTTGCGAGGTGAGGAATTAGCCACTAGGCTATTGGGCCGGTCTTGACGTCAAGTTTCTTTTTGACAATAATAAAGCCAATAATTTGGCTCCCAGCTTATCTGCTTGTAAACTGTGATGGCAGAGATTTAAGGAAACAAATGCTAACAAATGCAAATGAAACAGATGCAATTTCCAAAATCTCAAGTCACTGCCTGTTGATTCTCTCAATCTTCATTTTTCCAGTTGAAACTTAATTCAAGGGACCTGTTGTTTTCCCCAGCTTTTCAGTCATTGTTTCACTGGTTATGGGGGAGTTTTTACACTCCCACTCGTGACAACTGTGACAGCCAAGTCCACTCCCGTAGTTATTCTCCCACGCTTCTCCTTGGACTCAGGGGAAAAGCGCTCTGGGTTACTCCTTCATTGACTCAAACTGTACAGTTTATACCCTTAGCCTCCGCATTCATAAACTCATCTTTGCTCTGCAGCTTGATACCAGCCTGCCATTCTGGTGTTGCCTTTGACCTTGAACTGCACACACAAGCACAGCTAATGTCATGAGGATCGGCTTCTAAACCATCGGTCAGACCATGACCTTTTGCACCCTGTGTCTTTTGTTTGGCTGGAGTGGGTTAAGTGGAGGTTTTCCCCTGCCTTTCCAGATACAGTTTTAATCCAGTCTTTCCTACACTTGAGCTTGCCACCCATCAGGGGCCTCTTGCCATTTCTTAGCGGTGTTGGGGCCCTCCCCTTAGCGTCTGGCTCTATGAGCATCTGCCCATTCTGCTCTCTACCGGACAGCACACGTGCAAGCTGGCAGACACCCAGTGAGTGGAACTGTATGGAACCCAATGAGTGGTTTGGAAAACCAATGTAGTGTGGCTTAAGATGTCCAACTGAGAAGTTCCTTGGTACTTTGAATTACTGCATAGTTTCTCACATCTGGATTGCTGGTTTTTTGTTGTTAATAATTTGGCAAGAGCAATTTTTAAACGATTCTTCATTCACTGAGGCATATTGCAGAAAAGAAATTAGCAAGGAAATATTTGAAAAATAAGGCATTGGGTTGTAGGTGTGTTACCATTGCTGCAATTGATCACAGAACCAGCAAGACTTACTTGTTTCTTTTGAGGACATAAAAAGAGGTGGCCAACGAAAGCAG